GCGTCCACGCACGATGGAGCCCTCCCAGGGGCCGTTGAACTCGCCTCTGAGGGCAAACGGGCACCGATCCTGCTATCTGGTCCAAAGGACCCACCTGCGTCAACGCATGCCCAGGCCTCTCCAACGGCCACCGGGGCAGTCTTTGAAGACGAGGTAGCCCCGAGTCCATTACCCGGATCAACGGTGGCCAAAGACCTGTCCACCGAATGGGGCGAGATCCTGACTCGAGCCAAGGCAGCCAGGAAGGCCCGCATCGAAGCCACCAAGCAGGAGCAAGAGGCCTACCAGGCGGTCCTCGACTTCGCCGGCCGTCCATGCCCTCAGGCAGCAGGGCTGGCAAAAGAATGGCTCCCCAAGGTGCAGGAGGCCATCGATCTAGCTGCCTACCTCGAGGAGACACGCTCGGCCTGGCTCACCGAGAGGAAGAGGAGACTGGAGGCAGAGCAGGAAAGAGAGCGCATTATAGCGGAGCAGGCCAAGAAGCTCCAGGAACTGCACGCTCTGCGGGCCCAGCTGGCGGCCTTGGAAGAGGAGAACGCCAGCCGTCCTCTCCTGGTTCCCAACCCGCACGTGTCCAACAGGGCGAGGAACGAGCCAGGTCACCATGCGAGGCAGGGAGCAGCCGCTACTCGCCCGTGCGGCAAGTGGGATGGCCCCCGCCTAGACCTTCGGTTGATCCGGAGCTGCCCGCACTGTGGCCTGACAGGAGTGTCAAGGGGAAGGGACTGCCCCAACTATACCCAGCATTGGAAATGGGCCCAGGGACTCTTGGCCCCATATTCCTACGATGAGTAGGAGGGTCTATGATGCCCACCTGCGTCGACGCATCCTCATCGCGAGCAGATGGTTAGCTGAACCTCGACTTTGTACGGAGGAAGAGAGGCGCCCACTTAATGTTTCTTGGTTTAAACCTTTTTTTTGTGTATCACGATGTTTCCCTTTCTTTGACGATTGACGATAATAAATTCTCATAATAAATTTCGGCTTTTCCTTATTACAGAGAGAGAGAGAGAGTTATCCTTTCGAGCTGGTACCCCGTACTCAGCATCTGGGCCGGGGGGATATAACGAGTGAGATTGCCAACCCGTTATATCTCTCTCTCCCTAGTAACGACATGTAAATATGACATATTTCTCTGAACCTATCCTATATATTTATGAATTTATTATGCTTATATTCATTTATTATTAATATTTGTACATGTAATTACTTTTCGGCTCGAATATAAGGTAAGAGAGAGAGAGAGAGATGCGAGTACGCAGGGATACTTCCGCGCGCGACCGCGAGGCGCGGAGAGAGAGAGAGAGAGACATAGTCGCGCTTTAGCGAGTGACCGCGGGCACTAATCGTCGAGAGCAGAGCAGAACGAAATCGAGAGCCGAGCAAGTATCAAGCAAAAGAGTTGTCATCGTGCGGATTTGTCAGCGGGCGAGTAGATTCTTTTGTCTCGACGACTTTCCTTGCTGAGATCTTGGTTGTGACCTAGTGTTTCCCTCTTCTGCAATCTCGGAGCTGTGGCCTTTATCCGGAGAGGAGTTGCGACGTCGCCCGGCCCTGCAGAAGGTCTACGCTTGTGCGCTGTAGCTGTTAAAGCGGGAGATCGTCAAGAGGAAACGAGCCGCGGAGTGCACGTGGTGCCCGATAACTTGTGCGCGCGCGTTTACGCAAACTGTGCGACTCGTTTACGTACCTAGAGGACGAGTACCGTCATTGTAAGTACCTGCTAGTTGGTTTACTCTCTCTCTATCCGTTCTCTCGGCGTACTCTCTCCCTCCTTCCGACCGCTTTTGTTAACTTCTATTGATTAAAAATACTGTTTACCGTTAGTCTCTTTTATTTAATCGTACACCGACGCCTTATCCAAACGCTTCGCCCTTTCACGCCTACACCCGCTTTCGAATCATCGGCTTTCGCGTCCTTCAGTCAACACCACGAATCTGCGCGGATCCGGCCGTCCTGTCACCGGCGTAACGAACACCGGACCTGAGAAGACGGACAGTCCTGGAGGCTTCAGACTTCGCCCGGACATTCCTCATCTAACCTTAGTTATTTCCTTTTTTTATATTGACGGGGCTAACCGGGCTAAATCCCCGTTATAATGTAAACATGTCATAAATTGTCAAATCCTAATTAGTTTATTCTTATTTGAGCTCTGTAAGTCCATAGGTCATATGGTAAATTTAGTAAATTATAATTCTTGTTTGAATCATTTTTAATTCTTTATTATAGCTAGAACAGCTGACAATAAATGAGTTAATAAAGATAAGATAATTATATCTAGAGTGTAATATCGAATTGAAATTTCCAGAGCAAATTGAACAGAATGTGTGGCGACTCAACCGTCCCTCCCTTCAACCACCAGTTGGCAGCACCTACCACGGCTCCGGAAGCAGGCGCTCGAACGGCGCATCTGCGCATCCGCCGTGTTTCCGGCCCCGCTCGCTCGCAACTTGGCCGAGGCACTGGCAAGCCTCTCAGAGCTCTCTCTGTCGCGCACAGTTGTACCTTAACCCTTTTGTACTTTCTAATAAATGTTTATACTGCCCATCCGTTCGTGTGTTTTGTTCGCTCCTATCCACTAAGAGAGCGCTAAAAATGTAAAGAGTTGACTTCGGTCCAAACAGAGTCTAACACTGAAAATGTTGAAAGTAATTGTGAAACAGTGTCAAAGTATGTTTAATTATTAAAATTTTTTAGATTGATATTTATTGTTTTTAATTCTTTTTTAATATAGATATTACAGGTCTGAACCAAATGCTGAAGTGTAAAAATTTACTGCTGACGATAACAATGACAACGTCAAATCTTTATATTCTGTTCAATTTGCTCTAGAAATTTTAATTCAGCATTACGCTTTAGACATTGTCTAGCTATAATAAAGAATTTAAAATGATTCAAACAAGAATTATAATTTACTAAATTTACCATATGACCTATGGACTTACAGAGCTCAAATAAGAATAAACTAATTAGGATTTGACAATTTATGACATGTCTACATTTTTTTTAATTCTTTAAAAAATAGTATGAGAATATAAACTATATTTGTTAAAACACCTCTTTCTTTGGACTTTTGCTCTTACTACTAGGCTACATATCGAATTGTACTTGAAAATATACTAGGGTGGTCCGATAAGTACTTAGCCTCACCGCCCGATGGCGCCGCTCTCGCAAAAGAAATATTCTATCACGTAGTACAACTTTCTCGATGGTTACTGTCAATATTTCAGCCGGATCGGAGTTGTAGTTTATTTTTGAGAGCGTGTGAAAGCAAGTGTGTCCGTTGATTTTTGAAAAATGGAAAAAGAGTAGTATCGGTCGGTGATTCGATTCTTGTTTTTGAAAGGGAAATCGCGCAGCGAAATCAAAAATCGCTTGGATGCTGTGTACGGTGACTTTTCTCCTTCGATGGCGAAAATTGGTAACAAGTTTCAACGTGGTCGCACGCCGATTTTTGAAGAGCCACGTCCAGGTGCTCCGAAAACGGCTACCACGGAGGATAACGTGACAAAAATTCATGATCTTGTATTCGCAGATCGACGATTGAAGGTGCGCGAGATAGTTAAGATCGTAGGCATCTCAAAAGACCGCGTGGGTCATGTCCTGCATGATATTTTGGGCATGAGAAAGCTGTCGGCGTGATGGGTGCCGCGTTTGCTCACTCCGGACAACAAGCGCAACCGTGAGACAACTTCAGAGCAATGTCCGACGCTATTTAAGCACAATCCGAAGGAATTTCTGGGGGCCTATTCTGAAAAAAAATTTTAGCACATGTCATAAGCATTTATCACATCTAAAGTGATTAATTCTGTGGTAAACTGAAGTGACAAACTGCTTTACCACAAAATTTTTTTTCAGAATAGGCCCCCTGCGTCGTTTCGTGACAGTCGACGAAACATGAATCCACTGATATACACCAGAGATCAAGGAACAGTCGAAACAGTGGACTTTACCCGACGAAAGTGCTCTGAAGAAGGCGAAGACTGCCCCATCGGCCGGAAAGATGATGGCCACCGTTTTCTGGGATTTACAAGGTGTGATCTACATCGACTACCTGGAGAGGGGCAAAACGGTCACAGGGCTGTACTATGCCGAATTATTTGGCCGATTCGACGTCGAATTGCAGAAAAAAACGGCCCCATTTGGCGAAGAAAAAAGTGCTCTTAAACCATGACAACGCACCGGCTCACACCTCCGCCTTCGCCATAGCCAAATTGGTCGAATTAGGTTACGAACTGCTGCCCCATCCACCGTATTCTCCAGATGTAGTCCCGTGCGACTTCTTTTTGTTTCCAAACTTGAAAAAGTCACTCGCCGGGCAGAAATTTGAGTCGAATGTGGAGGTAATCGCTGCCACGGAAGCCTACTTTTCAGACCTCGAGGAAACGTATTTTTCAGACGAGTTAAAGAAGTTGGAGCATCGCTGGGCCAAGTGTATCGAACTAAAAGGAAAAATAAAACGCTACTTTTCCAAAATTTTCGTTTTTCTTTTGTAGGCTAAGTACTTATCGGACCACCCTCGTATAATTAGTACTTCCCGAGGCTAACATCAATGTATGATCAGACAATAGCTATATATTGTATAATTGAGAATTTACTTATTTTCCCTCTTTTGAACAAAACGAATTTGAAACGCGAAATTCAGACACGGTATAATGATAGAACAGCCGCAAGTGTACAACAGACCTAGATGTGTTACGAATAGGAAAAAAAGAAGTTTAGGATGGGTGACCGAATGCTCGTCGCTGCTCATCGCTGTGGTGATTGGTGGACTTCGTTCTCCTAAACTTTTGTACAGGAGAGATGGATAATTGGATAGGCTGCATCGTCTTCTGTATACAGTCTCCATGCTCTGGTGTCTATTGGAGAAGTGGCCATAGAGCGAGAATTGGACGACCTGAAGTCAGTTCCGCACCTATACCATCTACAACATATTATACGAGCACTGTGGTTGTGCGTAGTTACTATATCTGACTCTCTGCGTCCCACCGCATACAATAGCGCGGGAAAACGCTCGAACTACACAAAAGGATGTGTTGGTTGAATGCCGCTTTCAAGAAAGAGGCAGATGTTGGATGATTAGTTGCGTGCACCTGGATTTTGAGTCCAGTGTCTTGCTGTTTAGTCAGGCGGAAGATCAATTAAATTAAGAAATTTCAGTTTTATTCCAAAGATTCAAGCGATAAGTTTTCAGAACGGTGTAGTGAGCGTAAGAATAACAAGTCGATTAGGACAAAAAGTTACCTTGGTAGAGGTTATGGATAATTTCTGTAAAATTGAAAAAATTGGAGAAGGCACGTATGGAGTCGTCTACAAGGCTAAGGACAAGATTACGGGCAAACTCGTGGCTCTCAAAAAAATTCGGCTCGAGACGTAAGTACATTTTATTCATCTTTTCAATGTTGTCCATTTGACATTGTCTATGAAATCTTAACTATACTTGAAAACAAAATGTGTTTTTTTTATCAGTTCCTTGTAAATTGGAATAATTGCTCGTCATGTCACCTTGTAAATAATCGACCAATAATTATTAGCCATTTCTAATTTTTAAGTAATCAAGTTACAGTATCATGTAAGAGCTGTTCGATAAAAACTAATAGTGACTTAACATGCTTCAAACCCATTGTAAACCAAGGAATAAACCAGTTCTAATCTCTGGTTGTATTTTTCAATATTTCTAATCTGTGCACTGGGTTTAGCTGAATTTGTGGAGGTCACGTATTTATTACATGTCGTAGCACCACAGAATTCAGCTTGCTCCTCTGCATATTCCTCATCTACTGAACATCATTAATAGGCATGTGTACTAATCCAATGGGAATCATATTTTTTAAGCTTCTTAGTTTTTCAATTATGTTATGAGCTTTGGCATTTCAACTGTGGAATAATAGTTGTAATTAATAATACTAAAAGTAAAAAAATTTTAAGTTACTGAGGTATCATGAAAAAGCATTGAAAATATATACCTTTATATTTTTATTTGTGGAAATATTATGATGGTCATGAATCCTCACATTTATTAATGCATCAAATTTTCAGCTTTTTAATTTTTATATAAAAGTATTTCTAACAAAACTTTCAAACTATATTTGAACAGAGAAAGTGAAGGTGTACCATCAACAGCTATTAGAGAAATATCACTGTTAAAGGAACTGGCACATCCAAATGTCATTCAGCTGTTGGATGTTGTTCAAGGCGAAAAACACCTCTACCTTGTTTTTGAATTTTTACAACAAGATCTAAAGAAATTACTTGATTCTTTGAAAACAGGATTAAGTGTGCCACTGGTCAAGGTAAAAAAGAGCTATAATATCTATTTAACTCTTTGTGGCATAATGGGAATATGTCTTCCACCTTTTTCCATATCATATTTTGCAATTTTAAAGTAATTTTTAATTGATTTAGTCAAGTTTTTTTGCAGTTTTATAATCATGGAATTTTATAATATTAAAGTTAGTAAAAAATAATTTCAAATAGATTATAAATTTGTTAATATATATAAGTAATGTCTGGAAAATATGAAAACATTTTATAAAAGTGTATGCTGCAAAGAGTTAATAACCATATTTAAAAAAGAAAAGCTTATATATGGAAACAATTATTTTTATTTCATATAAAAATTATCTATTTTTAATTATTTTTAATTAATCTATTTCTACTACAGAGTTACTTGTGGCAATTGCTGAAAGCAATAGCATTTTGTCATGTAAACAGGATACTACATAGAGATCTGAAACCTCAAAATCTGTTAATAGATTATGAAGGAAATTTAAAATTAGCAGATTTTGGATTAGCAAGATCTTTTGGTGTTCCAGTACGCACATTTACACATGAAGTAGTTACATTGTGGTATAGAGCACCTGAGATTCTTTTAGGAACAAAACTATACTCTACAGCCGTTGATGTGTGGAGCCTTGGATGCATTTTTGCTGAAATGGTAATGTTTGTCCTTTCCATGAAAAATATCTAAAATTGAAAAAAATAATTGTAAATGTATTATGAAAAAGCAATGAGAATGTTTCCATTCATAACAGGCTACAAAAAGAGCTTTGTTTCCTGGTGACTCTGAAATAGATCAGCTATTTAGAATCTTTCGTACTTTGGGCACGCCAGATGAAACTATCTGGCCTGGAGTTTCTCAATTAAAAGATTACAAATCCATGTTTCCACAGTGGGAACCTCGTGATCTAGATGAAGTAGTTCCAATGTTTGATGTTAAAGCCAAAGATTTACTAATGGTGAGTGTTTGCCATTAATTTAAAAATTGAATACATATTGACTTGAAAATTTGATTATAATATGAAAAACGTGATTGATGATACACTCAAATATATTACTCAAATGTTGTAAAAACAATAAGTTTATTTATGTAGTTTTTTAATAAGTATTTCTTTATTTAGGTTTGCATAATTATTTATTAGTTACATTAATGATAACGTAATAATAATGTTATTGATTATAATTATGTCTTAAAATTATAACATTTTGAAATATCTTAAACCGAAATACACAGTTATTTATAATTTTTTTTAGGAGTTGCTGACTTATGATCCTAACGTAAGGATCACTGCCAAACAAGCCTTAAGCCACTCATACTTTGAGGGTGTCAAATTAGTTCCTCCACCTTTGTCAAAGAAAGACTGAAGAACAATCACATTAGTTAAATTTAGAATTTAATACAATCCTTATTTTTGACCAAATACAAAGAGGTCTATACGTTAGAAAGATCTAAAATGAGAGAAAATAAACTGTAACATTATCGGAGAAGCTTGGGATCTTTTTCAAATATTAAGTCTTTCAATAAGTCAATTCATTACGAAGGGGTGTAAATAGTCAAACAAAATTTGCAAACTTGTAAATATAATCACAATTATTATCATAATAAGAATTTTCAGAAATTCATCACGTTGTCAATATATTGTTTGTCGCGTAAACGTACGATATCCGCAATTGTAGAATGTATCAAATGTAAGTACAATTATTTTTGCAAATTCGGTAAGGTAATTTTAGTTTGTTTACTTTTGTGCGTCTCCGTAATAGCCGGGTAATTAGAATTTGATGGGGATAATGTTGGTAGTTGTAGCTCCCTTTTTGATTTGTTCTTTCGAGGACTGCCGGGCAACGACTTTTTACTCGCGGTCAGTGTTTCAGGAGTCTTGTCGAACCCAACCTGAACAGATCCTGGTCTAATTGCTACAGATGGGCTTATAGAATTGCGTGATCGGGTGGGAGTCGTAGGTGGCGGCTGCGGTGCATCAAACGTGCTTCTCTTGTCACTCGAAGATAAGCCGACCAGACTGTTCGGCCGACTTGACACCATCTGATACGATTTTCTCGGTAAATGAAACAAGTTACAATTGTTTTGCATTCATATTTATAAAAAATATTTATATGATTAATAAATGTATTGCTTTAATATGCATAATAGCTATAATGTGCATTTTGGCTCTACAGTCATGAAAAAAGTTACCAAAACATTTAAATTATATATCTAAGCTGGAAATCGTTCTATAGAGTTTCATTTTGAAGATCTGTTTCAGCTCTTATATGAAACTGATGGGCATTTGTTATATTTCTTCAGTTCGTAATATAAAACATACATCAACACTTTTTCCTGGGGCCTTATTGTGGTGTTGGTCATGCGCAGTATAATGTGCGCAGATTTGCCTGTTACGAGGAGAATGTCAATATTGTCAATGAAGTAACTAATCAATGTTAATTAGTTTTGTGACGGATACGATCGACGCATAATATACTGCACAACGTCAAAGTGCGCATGACTATCATCACAATAAGGTCCTAATTACCTTGGATTTGGTTACAGTTTCTTTTTATTTAATTCATAGCAAAATCTCAAAATCCCATGTATTCAAATGGTTTAAGTGTATGAATGTGACGTCACCCATAAGAAATATATTGTCCCTGAATTTAAACGTTTAGAAGTGTTTAAAATTGGTGATAATGTATTTTTATGGATGATGTCGTACATTAAACGTTTAAATTTACACACATGAGTTTACCGTGATTTCTCATGTAAATATAACTATATAAATCATTTTGTAACGTATTCTAAAACTACTAATAGAACTAATTATGAAAACAATCGTTGATGTTATAATCTATATATTATTAAAAACTTCTCTCGCATGTTGACTGCCAAATGTTACTGACTGTTAATATATATTTTTCAAATACTTTTTTAACAATAAAACTAAAGTAGTCGTAAGTTATAACTTAATATGTATTAATTTTTTAATGAGTTACGTAAATTAAATTATTAATAGTATTATTATATTATTATATATATATTATATATTATATATATATATATATATAATATTATATATTATATATATTAATAGTATTATTATAATTATTAATAGGGAGAAGATGTCGGGAATACTTATTATTTGTATATGATATTGTAATATTGAATACAATATCATAAGAATATGGAATAAAATTATTAATTTTTATAAATTTTCGTTGCTATTTCTTTGCCAATTCCTAGTAGTTATACCTCCTACATCCATTATAATAATGAAACAATACAAAACTATGTATTCATATCTTCTAATAATACAATCACAATGAACATTTATTCAAAAATTCTGAACTTATTAATTATTTTCAAATTTTAAATTAACCATCCGTAATAACCATGTCCAAATAATACTATAAGATTCCTATAATATGCGTTTTTTCTTTTAATTCAAACGGTCGGAAATATCTGGTTAATTTTCATATATAATTTATAAATATAATATAAAAAATGTACATGTGTGGCAATGAAATTTTATATCTTAACTTTATTAAGGAGACAAAGTTGGTCTTTTACATTGCGTATAAGAGTATTTGCTGAAAACTTAGAAAACAATTATTGTATATTGCCTATTTGTATTTTGAATAATTTGATTTAGATATTGATTTTTTAATAAGGTACTAAAAATATGTATTGAAATTTTTTAAGAATTGTGCATATGCTTAAGGCCTTGTTAATACATAATTCGTAGGCAGTTAAAGGACGATCGTCGAAAATTCGATAGTCTACCGACTACCTACGGAATTGACAGACTATAAGTAAAGTGTACTCAAGAATAATTATTAATTATTATTATTAGTATTTAAATAAGTACATAAATGTATTAATTTTTACATTTTTATTAAAACACTGTAAAAAGTATTATATAATCGATGATAATTGTTTATTGAAACAAGTGAGACGGTGACAGCGATAGTTACTAGCGAAATCCTTCAAACGTAAACGTCTGTCGATTCCCTGAGCAGTCGGCAGATTATCGAATGTTATAGACGATCATTTCTGCAACTGCCGGCAGTTTGCAGATTGCCTAAGCGAAACCAGGTAGATGACAGATAACATTTTCCGGCAGCTGTGCAGTGTCTACGACATATATATGCAACAACTTGACAAAAAATTAGCGATATTTCAATAAGCAAATTTAGTTCACCTGACTTTCTTCCAATCAGAATAGATACAACTTAATTTCCATGCAAACTGGAACAAGGTCAACCAGATTAAAAATATATCTGTATATATTTTCACGCTATATGCTCTGTGTGTGTGTGTGTGTGTGTATGTGTGTGTGTGTGTGTGTGTGTGTGTGTGTGTGTGTGTGTGTGTGTGTGTGTGTGTGTGTGTGTGTGTGTGTGTGTGTGTGTGTGTGTGTGTGTGTGTGTGTGTGTGTGTGTGTGTGTGTGTGTGTGTGTGTGAGTCTTAGATAAGTATTAATCCATTATGGAAAAAGTGATAATTCTTTAAGCATTTAGGACATAAGGTTGACCCAGTCATTGTTTTATAAAAAATGTGCAAGAACTAACCTTGGCCATATGCTCGACGAAGGCGCAGTGGCGTGCAATCGTGTTGCGATACTTCAATATAGCTTGGCTGTGTGATGTATATGTGACGAAACTCTCAGTGCGATCATTTAAAAGTCTTCACTACTCCACTTCATACTGTATATGTTACACTGAAATAATAGACTACAAGATTCTAAATAGTCTACCTAGTCATATGATTTAGTCGGTATGATTGATTTAATTCAACAATCCTCAATTCAATATTATATCCTAAAAAGAAGCCGTGCACGGTTCATAGTATGTATGTACAGCCTGCTTATATATGAATGACCTATAACGATGAGAAGTTGCAAATCTATAAGATTGCATTGATAAAAAGTAATACTATCATTCAATTGATTTATTGTATTTTTGTTTTCAAATAAAAAACTTTATTTTTTCCTTTTTTATGAAAAAGCTAACGAGATATTGAGATATATACATACTATGTAAAGCATGAACTATGATTCGGTTATGTTATACATAAAAATATTTTAATCTTCATAATACAAACAATATAACTTTGTAAGTTATAAATGCGTTAATGTTTGACAATCATAGGTGCATAAAATGTGCGTTTATGAAGTTAAAACGAAATATTATTTAATTACACAGGCAGTAAGTACCACGATTTATTTGTTATTGCAAAATACTTGCACACATACATATATCCAGACACAAAATTAATGCTGGAAAAGTTATTGGTCTTATAATCAGTACAAGGTGCTGCGAAGTTTAATGTGAAGACAAACCTATTTTGATGTATTATAACTTTAATACACTATCTGTGTTTACTGATAATAGTAGTTTAAATAATAACCTTATCTTTACATAACGTTCACTGTTTTAAAATAATAATTTAAAGGCGTTCACATATTTGATTAAAAAGCATGATAGTATTGTTTGTAGCAATACTCAAATAATTGTTAAATCTTTTCTAATTGATCTCCGTCAGTTAATGTCCTTCGTTTGAACATTTCAAGCATTGAATAATAAATTATCAATATCATTAAAATTGAATAATTTTATTAATAATTGAATTTTTTTGTATATTGTTATAATTAATATGTTTCCATTATTAGCAAAGTGGTATTACAAACCCATAAAAATCAAGTTTACTCTATAAACATAAATACTTGTTATATTAATAGGCACACAGTTGATTTTTTTGTAATTAGTTTTCTAAGCTCAAAAAGTATTTCCTATTTCAGTATTGCAGGCATGCGGACAATTGTGCATGGTTTTATACTCCATAAAGTATTGTGCACAGTACCGTGGCGGAGTCAGCGTGTATACGCTACGTTACTGTGCACAATAATTTGTGTCTATAATAAGATTATGCACCATTGTCCACATGCCGTATTACAACTATTACCTGAAACTGATAATATTAGAACGGTGCGTATTTTCATGATTTTACGTGACCTTGTCGTTTATTTAAAAATATTCAATAACTAAAATTACAAAACACTAAGTAAAATGTTTTATTAGTATTCTATTGCAAACATAATTAGCAGAGTTTGGAAAACAATAGACCGCGGTATAACAATGTAACCGCAATTATATTCAGATAAATTAAATATACGTAAGGAAACGCGTCAACTTATGGCTTATATTACTTAGCTATCAATAACACGTACATTTATTTATCACTAGTATTGCAAATGTCAGTTTTGTTACGTATTAAAAGAGATAATAATTTATAAACACATACATATGTGTTGATTTACAAATGATCCACCGTCAAACATACATTTCCATTTTACGTATGATGATCGAAAGTACTACACATTCAAATTTATAATATGTGTAACTCAATTATTTTATTATTCAATATGTTTTTGCAGCATTTTCATAATTAATTGTAAGATTATGCCAAAAAATGTTTATTTACTAAAATCAAATCAGTCAAATCAACATTAAAATATCTTCATCTCCTTTACATCAATAAAAAAAAGATTGCGAATCTATTTTTGGACATAAATCCTATCATTCATAGGACTCTTTTTCCTAATGTAAAGCCTCATTCTTGCTCTTACGTCTACTTGTTATCTGAAGTTTTTTTGAAATTAAATAAAGAAATTTGCAAAACTTTGATTAATGTTCAATATGGTCTATTATTACTACAGTAATATTCTTAAATTAAGGTTTTTTCTTGAAATAAGTATGCAGCAAATTTTAAAATAACCCTTGTAGTTATAAATAAGCAGGAAAAAATAAAAAAATGCAAATTCTTTAATTTGTTGCACACTTAAAATAAGAACTCTTGTCATAGTGTTGATCAGAAAGTATTATTAATAAAAGTTTTGGTTTCAATTTTTGATGTGTAATTCAAAACAATAATTCATCTCTCTTCAATGCATTGACTTATCGCATATAATCTATTTTTCACCAATATGATTCAAACTTCAGAAGACTTCATTTAATTTAATAAACAAGCGAGAAATCGAATCATAATTTTGTGGTTATAAAATAGATTGTGTGGAACTGATATACATTTATTTTATAACCTATAGGTATAGAAAAATTGTTTGACATTCAAATTGTTTGATTCATTCAGATTACGTAGATAAATCGACGTAGTTGGCCGATAGTTAATGTACGATAGTATCGAGAAATGCGAATATCTAAGGCTCTTGATTGAAGTTTCCATGATCCAAATTAGACAGGTCGTTTTTAGGGCTGCTGTCAGTCGTACCCATCAGTATTGGGCTCTAAACATACAAACGCGCATAACACTCGCTACTTTCTTGCAACATTTCCTTCACTTTTTATCCAAACTAACTTTATCTTTGTTCAGCGGCAACTATTTTTCATTTTCTATTATTTATAATTGATTTTGTAAAGTAAGACAGTAAAGTTCTAACCGTTTTCTTTGAATACCTTGTGACTGTAGAAATAAAATTTTATCTGATAAATGCCGTTACTTGTAATAACGAGTTATAAGAATTGACCGAAATATATTTTAATGAAAATTGGTTATAGCTAAAAGGCTGGAAAATGAGCTTTGGCTGCTTACGAAACTTGTAAAAGGACTTTGCGTACTAAACATGCAAAGCAGAGAATACTCGAGAACAGAATGTTCATAACTCGAAATGCAAAATAAAATTAACGATAATGTTGGTGAGAAGCAAATGATGAGTTCTGCTATAGCTACCGTTTAACACGGTGACAGTAATTATGTTTTTCCAAGTATTCGCATCTTATTTACAAAAAGTACCTTCTCATACAAAGTATATCGTGGAATTCTCTAATCTCGAACTTGTTGTCAGATAATGGTTGAAAGAAAGGGGATGGAGCAGCCGAAGCGGGACACTTAAGAAATATCAAAACACATTACTTGCCCTATAAAAAGGCTGTATCGTTTCACTTCGTTTAGCGTCAATACCTTTTTTCGAATGAGACATTCGGAAACTGCAACAGCTGCAGTCGTGCGCTACTCCTTATTAATCAAAATTCTATGGAGATCAAAATTGACGAAACATAACATGTCGCAAGTGTTCCGCTTGACCTACTCTTGCTCTACAGTTATCAGCAATTATAACTATGACTACAATTTACATAGTAATCTCTATATAAGAGAGCATAGTTCAGACGGTTGGATGATGAATTTTACTATTTACAAATTAATCGGGACATATTTTTATTGTTTCTTAAATATTCGATTAATAACTATGTGATATATATAATATATAAATAAATATAAGTCATATATAACATTCAAATGTAAATTGCTCTAATGAAGTTTAAAACGAAAACTGTATTGTATACATACGTTTGATTTCGAATATGTTTAATCAAAGCAAAGGCGATACTCGAAGGCGAGATGACATAGTTTCGAATGTCTAAAATGTGGTATTGTATTGGAGCAACAAATAATAATAATAACAATAGTAATAGTAGTAATAGTAGCCATATTAATGCTAATGCCTAGAGTATTCAATAGTAAGAATCCCAGCTGTTGATCGTTAGAAATGAAAGCAGGGGGATGAGGAAGCGAGGTCGCTTAATGTGTAGCGATGAAGACACTCGTACGTATAGCGCGAAAGGTTGAGAGACGAAAGATTCGGGGATGTTTGGTATGGTTGAGCGAGGAGTAGAGGAGTATCGAGGCTGTGTTGGATTAGCTTCAAGAGAGAATGTAAGGAAAGGGCGGCGGGCAGCAGCCGAGTGAGCCTGCAAGTCGGTATTTACAATGGAGCGCAACAAAGTAACCGTGGCGTGGAATGGATGCGGCGTCGTGGGCGCGATTGCGGCCGCGGGCGTGGCAGTAGATGTGCGTCTAGGTGGATGGGGTGGGCGAGAGCGATACCTGGGAGCCGCTGCCGCTCACGCTACCAACGTTTGAAGAAGTCTGGCGCAGGTAGCTCTTGTCGTCGAAGATCTTTTTATCGCCCCCACCGGGTCTGTGCTTCATGTTGTCCATCGAGCCCACCTTACTCTCCGCCTTGAACTCCAGCTTCTGCGACTCGATCTGTCAAAACAGCCAACAACACCCAGCTCGTTCAACTATGGTTAAGACTAGACTCGCAATCACCCCCCGCCCCTCCACGTATATCATTCGGCATTCGATCACTCTCACGCGTGCACTTGCACCCCGTCATGAAGCCAGTGCCAAACTCGCGTCTCTCAACACTCGCTCAAAACTTACTAGTTGCCTACAAGCAGTCGATACTACAATAGCAGGCAAGTACTTACTTCGTCATACCAAGATAGACAATTCGATCGGATAGTCACGCGTGGATGCAAACCACTACACAGCGCCAGAGCGCATCGGTACATGCTACATCAACGACAGTTTGCATGCAATGAGATTCACTGATGAGAGGATGAGAGATGAGACATCCATCCAGAACTCTACAGGCTTCAACTTCCGCAAAAGAGTACATTTGGATACACTTACATTTTCAGGGCCATTCATTTCGTATTTAGCGGGCCTGTTGACTGGCTTTGAAACAGAAACATTTTATTAACCTTTACGCGAACTTGGTATAGTAGGCCAACCAGGTTCCGCATCCGATTATACCTTGTCTAAAAACCGAATTTTCTGCTTTTCGTCAATAAGCAATATTGGGAACAATAAACCAGTTTCCACGTGGACAGAAACTGCTAAAGGCTGTCGTTAAAAACAAGGTTATAAAACCATCGCTTCACCTCGAAAACAAGCAATTTTAAGCGGATACATTTGTTGAGAAATTTCAGGCCTGCAAAGTTATCTAGATGGATTAAAACGACCCATCCCGAGTATTCATCCAATAACTTTTTTTATTCAAAGTTTCAGTTTCAAAGAAGCCTTCTAAAAGCGCAATTCAACACTATATACTCTACTGGCTCTTGCTTTTGCACTCAATCGGATTAGTGCAGCACAAAAAACCATCAATTTTGGCAGTACAGAAGACCAAGCGTAGCTTTAAATTTATATGGCTTTCTCAAACATAAGTTTTTGTTTATTTTGCTGGGTGCATAAATTAGAAGAACAAGATATGTGGCAGTCTACGGCTTCTTGTCTTTTTTTCTTACTACTTACATTAACGTTGTTGTCCTGAGGAGTTTTAGGAGACGTTGCTGATGACTAAATGCCATAAAATAAATAAACAATTCGTTAATCGATGCGTTAAGAAACTTAATGATCGCATGCTTTTTCAGAGTCGCAGCCGGGTTCTTCTGTAATAATTACTTGATAAGGATATATTTCAGTAATGAATTAAAAGAAAATCGACTGGCTTTTTTTCTACTAACAATAAAAATGTTAGTATGAACATGCAAAAAGCACGTCACAATATTTTTATAAATAATGGAATTTGATGAATGAATTACTTTTGTGCTTTCATCAAATGTCCATGAAAATGCGAAATTTAATATGTACTTTTTTAATACATTGTCTAGATAGTTTTGATTATTACAATATTATTTCATGTAAAAGTTTGCAGTGTTGGTTATAATATTAAAGATTTAATATTTGTACCAAAATATTATCCTTATTACTGACTTTCTATGAAGTCTATGATCAGATGAATTCTTTAGCTGGTTTTCAAGCTAAATAGATTACTTATGTTAATTATTGGTATCTGTTGAGTGTTTCCATGTTAGTCGTGTGTTAGCTGATTGTTTATGTATCAAGTACATAAATTATCATTAGTCAATGATTGATTGTAAAAAAAATTATTTTGTTTAACGATCGTGTGTCCACTATATAAGATCATGCTCTCGAATGATACTAAACGTTAAGAGTCAATACGATTGTACGACAACGATAAGATTTTTTACGATTTGGTAAACCATTGAATAAAAACAAAATTCCCATGAAAGAAATTGGCTATGTTAATAATGTTTTCTAATAGCAATCGCAATGCAGAAAACGATCGAGTTGGACGAAGAGAAAAATCAATCACCTTGACTGATCCGCCACCAGGCACGTGTTTTGCATTTTCCTTGGATCCGACTCTTGACTTGGCCTTATCTTTGAAATCGAGTTTGACAGTTTCAATCTTCTTATTACCGCCACCCGGTTTGTACGTGGCATTTTCGAGAGATCCAATTTTTGGTTTAGCATTCCACTGCAGTTTCACTTGCTCAATCTAAAATCAAAGGAGTTTCTCTTTGTCAAGTGCAACTCTTTGATTATTTCTGGTATACAACCAGCGACACTGAAATACCAACTTTTTTATCGCCTCCACTAGGAGTGTATTTGTCATTTTTCGCTGCAATCTTCGGTTGAGCGCTGCTGAAATCAAGCTTTCTGTTTTCTATTTTAATCTTTCCGCCTCCTGGTTTGTGTGTTGCATTTTCCAGTGAGCCGATTTTTGAGCGTACCGCCTTCAAATTTGGCGATGGGGCTGCTCCTACTTGTACCTTGTTCATTGGTACTTCTGTAACAGTGAAGAAATTATTCTCAGAACAAATTAGTTTTATCTTCTAGTCGTCCGTCTGGTTCTGGTTGTATCAAGTACCTGTACCTAGGCCGAAATATCGCGTTTAGATAAGTGATCGTTCAATATATAGCTTATACTTATATAGCTTGCTTCGTTACCAGATGCTTCATGAAAAAACCAAGCTAAATCGCATAATGGGGTCACATTTTCAAAATTAGTTAGATTTGCGTTTCAGCAAATGCTCACCTAAATCAGACTGGACGCTTCGAAGTGACTCAAACTTTCGAGCTCATGAGATCGTTTACACGCGCTACATGTGTAATTGTTCACTAGCACTTAATTATTAAATAAAATTGTCGTAGTTGTCGCATCGTTTCGTGAGAAATATTGGAAAAGCTCGCATCGAAAGACTCGAAAGACGGAGAGAAGCTACTTTGTTTGATTGGCGACAAGGTACTGTAGAGAAGGTAGACTTACTTTTCTTCTCGGCAGTGGGTGGCGCTGCGTCCGGAGTTCTCGGCAATGATTTGATGCTTTTATTCGGTGACTTGATGGGAGATCCAGCCGCCGACCTCTTGTCGGCATCGCGCGTCTTACTCGGCGTTCTCGATGAAACTCCATTCGACTTTGGCGCCTGTGACAAGTTCGACAAGAATCAGTGAATTATAAGTGCTTCTTCGAATAGGTCGAAATGAGCGATGTTGCAGAATCACGGTAAAATAAATGATCGGAGTGTACCTCGCGACGCTGCGTCGTTTCGTCCACGCCACTGTCATTTTCTGCATCTGAAATGTAGAACGAGCGTATGAGCGCTACTTAGGACAGCGATATTCGTCAGAACGATCGTCAACTAATTTAATATACGAAGCAAAAACGTAATGACTGATTTGCGCAAGTAACAAGTAGGTGAGGGCTATCGGAAGAAAGTTTGTGTGTGCTTTAGAAATAAATTTGGTGGAGACTGAGATCGAAGACCTGGTTTGCTGGAACGGATCGACTCCTCGACGTCGGGCCGTGCTCGAGGCGGCGCGCCGGCGCGTCCGCTCGAAGCCCGGTCGGCCGAAGCACCGTTGGTGGCACGTGGACCAGTGAGCTCGGCCCCAAGGGGCGCCGGCTGCGCCGGGCTCGCGCTCGGAGTGCACGGCGCCTTTCCGCAGCCCTCGTCGGGGCCCTGTCTGCCGGAGTCGCCGTCGCCCGCAGTCGGGCCTGTGCTCGGAGTGCACGGCGCCTTCCCGCGGCCCCCCTCGAGGCCCCGGATGCCGGAGTCGCCACCGCTCACAGTCGGGCCCACGCTCGGAGTGCACGGCGCCTTCCCGCGACCCTCAACGGGTCCCTGGATGCCGGAGCCGCCGCCGCCGCCACCGCCGCCGCCTGCAGTCGGACCCGCACTCCGAGAGTTCCGAGCGCCGCCCGGCGTCTTGGCCGCATCTACGCTCATCGCCATTGCGCTCCGAGCCCGCGATTGCTGATCCGCTTCGTTGACCGGCGCACCCCTCTCAGCCTCCTCGGCAGGGCTGGCCCGGCGCTGTTCGAGGGCACCCGGGGGCCCGGCCAGCTCGACCTCGGCCATACCTGTATGCGCAAGGCTGGTCTGCCGGTACGGCACTGCCTGCTGTTGCGGCGCGGGCTGTCGGGGCCGGAGAAGCCTCGGGTCGATGCCTGTGGGCGCGAAGGGCGGCCGGCCGAGCGGGAAGCCCTGGGGCGCGGGCCCGTAGCCGGCGGGCGGCGGTCTGGGTGGCGGGAAGCGGGGCGGACCCTGGCCCGGGGCAGGGGGCCTGCCGAAGAAGGCGTGCCTCGGCACTGGCCCGTACGGCGGCCTCGGTCCCGCGGCGATTTGATGTGGCTGCGGCGGCTGCTGCGCCCGGGGACCTCCGTCCAGTGGAGCGTGGCTGTTCACCGCCGTGAGAGGTGTCTGCTGCTGGATAGCCGGCTTCACCTACACGTAGACGCGCACTCGTCAGCGGCTCAGTCTGAACGCTCGACGTGCTCGACAGCGTCATCGGAGCACTGAACGACATCGTGGAAGGATCGGAAAAGTTGGCTGACGCCACTCGTCGCATCGATCCTCCCAGCTGCTTTTGCCTGTCGGTTCGACGCGACTCGCGGCCTGTCTCAGCTTGGTTCACGCGCGGCATCGATTGCCTGTCTGGCCTGCCTGCGAGCCAGCCGCGTTTGCTACGCTACCCCTCCCCTCGGACAACATTGCAACAACCTGGCAAAGGCTCTCTCTCCAGGATTGCCACCGTTATCAAATCCCTGTACCGCATTGTTGTGTAATCACTCGCGACGCATTTCCTCTTTCGACTTTCGACTGCGCACAATCCGGCCTGTGCGCAAAGTAAATCTTCACCCGAGACAAGTTAGCATACAGGTGTTCGATCTAACAAGATGCTTTCGTTTGATTGTTTCTACGAGCGTCAGCCGAGCTTAGCCTTACAGGTAGTCTCTCTTACCGAGGCTGGATTTTGCGCGGCAGTGAAATCAACTGGATGCCGTGGCGTCTGTTGCGAGTCCATGTTTTCGTCTGAGCGTGTCGTTAATAGCGCTTAAAACGGCTTTCAATGTTCGATGAAGCCGATTTCAGCAAACCGGGAAGAAGCTTGCCCATGAACCTGTTGCGTCATCAAACAAAACCCTCTGGTCATCAGTCAGCGCACAGCAAGTGCAGAGTGCAACTGCCATGCGGTCTCTGCGAATGTGCTCTTACTTGGGCCCGGCGCGGTCTCGTTACCATGCTTTTTATTGCAGTGCTCATCGTATAAACGTCCCCGCAATGCTTGACCAGTTTTGACAAAGCAACTGACTTGCCAAAGAATACTGACCATTACTTGAGCTCACTTCAATCAAAGATCCACAAATAGTACGTGTTACTTTCAATGCTTTCACCTATGCGTTGAATATACTGCCTACGTGAATAACGAACAAACAGTTTAACTACAGCTAGCTCATTATTTTAAAATCTTCGAGTGCAATTTATCGTTAGTTAGTTCTACTGCAAATGTGATAGGTTCATTTGAATGCTATAGCTATTATCACTGCACGCTACCTCTTACACATACGAGTTTTACAGCCAAATAATGGCAGACTAAAACCCATATCCCATTTACAAAGCTTAAAAAAGCCACATAAATCTAAAACAGCCCTGCAGCGTAGCTCACGACAACCGTTTATAATATATTCATCTGACTTTTATGCTATCAATAACCCCTGATGAAAATTGATCATGAATCTGCAGACTTTAGCATGGCAAATTAGAAAACATTTACATTATTTTCGTTCGGAAGCGTTATTTTGAATAAATAAAGGCAAAGTCATGTAGATTAATAAACTATTCGAAATGGTAGATATGAAGAGAACATGATGGTTTACAACATTAACAAAAATAAACCGATTGAAACTTCAACAACAGCTGTATTAAAGTGTTTTGAAGGTGTGCTTTAGAATTTTAGACCCGAAAAATTTATGATTGATAACGATTTGTAATCTTTGTTGATTATAAGGACGTGGAAACATGAAAAAATTACAAGCCGAAAATTATATCGGATCTATATCTGTTCACAAAAGTATCATGAGAGTTTGTAAGAATAGAATCTTTTGAGGGTAAACATGGGAATAGGTAGCAAGCTTTTGACGACTACTGGCCGAATAAAATCCAAGCATGCTCACCAATAGACAAGTAACCATCATACCCCTTTAACATAATACTTTGGAATACTTTTTGAAGAAGAAATACAAAAAGTTATTTTTAATTTATCCTTTTTCTCTGCAATAATTGTGGATAATTCATTGTTCTTATAACTTTATTTCTGTAAAATTTTATTTTTCATTCATACATTATTAATAATCATTAAAATTGCATAGAAGAGATTTTAATATCAATTTTAAAGTTATTAATTGTCTGACTGTGTTTTTAACGTAACTAATTACAAATGTTAGTTTATTTATTTATCTTATCATATCTTTACTATATTTATTTTATTTTTTTTATATTAGTAAGAAATATTTGAATAAATAACAAGAGCAATAATTGAGGAACTGTATGCATTCTCATTGGGATTTCAACTGAACAAGCATTAGCATGCGACGATAGCCGTTTAAATTTTGCTAGTAGTTATGACCAACGCTTGGTCAGCCACTAAAATAAGTACTGAATGTAATTTATGTAAGATTGTTATCCGAGAATTACCAACAGTATATAATTGTTTATATAATCAAGTTTAGATCAAATATATGTAATTTGTAATCATTGTAATTATTCAAACATTAAATATAAGCATTTAAACCAGGGACCCTTTGAAAATGAAAACAAAATATTTTCATTTAAATACATGCTGCTGTGACTTCATCAGAATCAACTTTTTCTGCAGAAAGATTAATCAATTTTCAAATAACGTTTGATAATTCAAAGGGTAATTTTAGAAAAATACGTAAAATACTATAGTGTTTATAGGTCAACAAGGAAAAGGAAAATTTTGAAAAACTCTTTAAATGTATAGGGATTGATATATTTGTGAATTATTCGATAAGTCTTCTAAACTTACATGAGTGAATGTCATGTTATTAACGCATCAATGGTTTATCTATAAAATTCAGTTTATATGTACACAAGGCAATAAATATAATTGATACGTATATATACTGTGTCATGCTTGTTTTAATGAATGACTAATACTTATGCGACAACTAATGACTGAAGCCCTACAATGCATAAAAATAGGTACGGCGCCATCGACCTATGTGACTTCACTCCGATTTGCCTGTCAGCTGACAAGATCTTCCCGACGTAAAATGTTAGTCCAGTACACGCGCGACGTTTGCACACTGTACAGTATAAGCTCGTTGTGTCATCGACCGCTCGATGTCCTTCTTTCTATTTTTTCAATATATATTTCTTTTTTGTAGCAGCTACGCCCTACTTCACTATGCACAATGTATTTACGCGTCTAATTTATTTACTTATTTATTATTACTCGTATATCTGCTCTATTACGTAAGATGATTGATGTTGGCCGACACCACCGCGATACGGTGTCAGCTGTGTCGAATCCATGAAAAAGTGAACTAATTTATGAGAAAGGAAAGCATTCATTACTACCAACTCTTATGAAGAAATGCTACAACAAACTAGAACAGATTGCGTGCAAGCTGTTGTTATCGTTAGATCCCAAAAGAGTTTCAGCGAAAACCCGTTTATAAATGGTGAACAAGAAAAGTTTTCCTTACCAAAGCCTCACGAAAAAAAGAACTAGCATGCTTCTCAATGTATCGAAATAAACTAGAGATCGTACTTGGGTTGCTCTTTGCAAGTATAAACATTTATATTATCATTAGATCTTCTAATTACAAAGCTCGTTAAGCTTCTCTTTCATCCGACATGTGCTAATAACTTTGGTCTATGCTCATGATGAGCATATGCTCGATTGTGCTACCATGTGCATATTGTTTTGTTAAATACTTTTTATATTCAAATCGTTCCATCTTAAATTATGATATTATCAATGATAATATGGTTCAATATTTATTAAATGAAAGAAACCTTGCCTTCGGGCTAATAATTAGGCAATAAATCAAATTCATGCCGAAGTCAAACGATATTTTAAACTGGATTACGATGCTTATTTCGGGTATCGCTGAAGCTTATTCAATCAATTCATTTGATTAGCTCAGTGCTCTTTGTTTTCGGTGCGATCGACCAGCCTACTTTTTAAGTATCATGACTGCACACAACCATATCAGTATTACATTTAGGCTTCCAAGCATCAGACAAAGCAAATAACACTAAAAGAAGATGCCTTTTTATTTTGCGTTAACTATGCTTTAGATAAACTAAGTTTAAGTTTTAATTCAAGTGGATATTCAATTTTTGATATTTTATTTGTACATCTAAAAAGTATTCTTTACTAAACTTTCGAATAGATTTCAAGACAGGGTTCAAATAATACTGTCTGTACTAATATTAGATACAATTAATTGTATTATAGACTCAAAAGGAATGGAAAAGCATGTAATTATTTCAAGATTTGATCATTTCCGTTCTTACATTGGAATATTACAAAACTTGTTTATTTACGCAATTAGCTGTTAGTTTACAAAAATTTCGATATAATTATATTTTACTGTGCAACCTACAAAAAGACTCAAAGTTAATGAAATGAAATAAGAGTATATTGGTATAAAAGTGTTTGAGCTCGATTTAATTAGTTGAATTGTTATTTACAATATGCGTATAAGATAATTATGAAACAACGGTGTCTTACAAGCAAAATAATTTATAAAACCCTGATATTTCATTAATTCTTAATTTTCTTCAAAAATATTTTAGTTTGAATTTTTTTAGATCATCCTATTATTCAGAAATAATATTTTATAATATTTTGCTATTTTATAAAACCTTACGTTATGACGCATTGTTATATTAAAAGCTTCATAATCAAATTTGTGAAAAGTAACGTCTTTCTCATACTACATTAATTTTGAACTTATTGCTATACTCCATTGCATATTATAGTACCATTTTAGGTCATAGAATTTCCTTTGCGTTATTTAGCAAATAACCAAAATGGTACTTGTTTGCATTTTACATAAATTATCGTCTAAGCAAAATTATGACAAAAAAGTTTGAAAAAAAGGGTTGAAAAGAAGGGTGAAGTGTATATCTGAGTCAAGAAGTTCAAATAGGATGCAGACAGGACAAAAAGCAGTTCAAGTTAAGCGTAGTTTGAATACAATTGATCAAACTCGAATTGCACTGGAATCATCAAATTGATGTGAGTTTTGCCGCTCCCGATACATATACGTTGCAACTCATTTGTTTCGACATCAGATATTGCAAGTAAAGTGCAGGTGGAACGATAATGAATTTGCACTCGAGTGAATTGAGTGGCATGAAAAAGCGCCAGGATATGTGTGACAAAGCATTTGCCGCGAGGCTGCTACGCCAATATCCCGGAGTTGTTTAATCGATACTCGGAGAGATCAGTAATGAACTAATGACTTTTATTTGCTCCAAACTCATATCAAAATACTTTGCTAGAGCTATTTTCGCTACGTTCATCGATACTACTATGCAGAGACCTACTTACATGAAAAACCGTCTTAAATATGATATTTATCTAATACACTACATGTTTTGGACTTTCGGAACTTGTAGACGAATGTTTTACTTTTGCTCCGAACTTTTCGAGCTGATAAAATGTAATAACAATGGTATTTGGAGGTTTTAGATTATATGAACGATTACGTAGAATAATACCTCTTGGAAAACAAAACAAGGGAGAAATAGAGTGAAAGTTTGAACGAATAAGTGGTTTGTTCTAAAAGCGTCTAGCATGAAGTGATAGCCTCGGGAAAGCAAAGGTACAGTTGTTCTCTATTTCAACGATCTCACGCAACGCGAAGCCGATTGGAATCCAATAGTAGAGAAAATCAATGGCTGCCGCTGCGCGTATGCGGAAAAAACAATGACTCCAATTTTCGCGTGTAAATTTACAAGGAACAAAGCTGACGAACATTCGCTTTCTCGAATGAGCTCGAATTGTTTTCGCTTGTTCTGAACAACGATCAGAATCAACCAGCTATGTTTACTGTCGCGTAAGCATTTTAGAACGGTAAAGGCAAGTTGTCGGCAGGAAGCTCTGCACGATGAATAATCAAATGAACTTGCGCGCAATCTACGTTACAAAGCTACAGCAATCGTAAATAATATTATTGACCGACGGTGTCGTACGTTGCTAAAAGATGGCCAACAAGAGAAGCATGTATCCGATAATGAAGAAAGCTCGCGAGGAGTAAAAACGAGGTGAATCTTACCGAGTAGCACGGAGGCAGGCCTGTCACCGAGCCGACACGAGACTCGAAGGAGTTTGAGCGAGGAGCAACGTGGCACGGCCAAGCGGCAACTGAGCGCGCACCCGCGCACCAGTTCAAAAGCTGCCGACTGCTCGCCAGCGACTGGACTACAGTCGGTCGTTCGGCTTTTTCACCTCTTTTCCCCACATACCTACACCTCTTATGGGCCGTCGCCGGAGCCGACACGATCCGAGCAGGCGCGCGCACACTTTGCTCCTGCGCCCTAGCGGCCCTGCCTTCCATGCTCGCACGCATTGACCGTTTGCGCTCGCGATCATCAATGAACACTGCGCAGTCTACTGTCGCACCTACGCGTCCTTCTTACAGCGGGGCTACTGGCCACTTTCACGCGCGTGCCGCCATAACCATGCCACTTTATGCCTCCTGCTGCTCCACCGCATGATCACTATGAGTGAAACGCAATTATACAAAGCGACTTCCCGTTCACGCCAACATCCCCAAGTATTTCCCGCGCGAGGCTGAGTAAGAACGGACACGCGATATCCTTTCTACTTTACACTTCTCCAACAAATTATCACTAGCTACTTTTAACTTTCTTCAATTACGTCTCTCGTACAACTGTTCTTTCAGCTTTTTCGGGTCGTTTCCCTGTTCAGGCGTGCATTATACGAGCATTTACTGACAATAGCAAGCAGCTAATGGCAGTTGATGCTTCAAATATTAAATAAAAAGTCGTCATTCCGTATCCCTGATCATCAGACGCGAGTTACGTTACATACATTTTGACATTTCGTTAATACTTTATAAATAATAGTACGGATAAGATGTCTCTGCAAGTTTGGTTTACGTTTTTGCTTCGTAAATTTACCATTTTTTATATTACGTGTCTTGAGTCCGGTATGGCTGCTCGTTTACCTGCAACAAAAATATACACAAGCGCATTATTATTTCAAGTTGATGACATGCCTAAAATATTTTTGTACGCGTTCGCGGGACTTCGTATAGGTATGAGCAAGATGCATACAACCTTCATCTACACGATTATCTAAATCCTTTGAAATTTATACGATTTCATTTTTCATTCAGCTAAAGCTGCGAAAGGCTTGTATAATTAGCTAAGAGGACTGTAATCAGAGTCCAGTTGACTAATGAATTAGAATAACAGTTGTTACCGCGATTGGCAATACGGCAAAGAGTTGTCTATTCGCCTCGAGCTCGCAACGTAGTTCTACATAAACTCGCTAAAAAATGCAATACTCCATAAGGAATATTTCAGCTGAACATTTGTCCAAGTATTCTATAGGGATGAAGAACCAATGAACGAATAAGTCAATTCTTTGCCTCCGCAAGAGTATGAAGCATACATAGCACAGTGCATAAATAATTAACGAGCTAAGAGGTGCACGGTTATTTAAGTCTGCAGAGGTGGGCTAAGCGGAAGTTGACGCCCCGAGGAGGACTAGTCGCGGCGCGAGCGTGACCCGCAAAGTTCCACCTCTTAATCCTTTATCGATTAGCGCAGCTAAGCGGCATGATTGCGTGCCGAGTGGCTATAGCTCCATTCTTGAGACAAAGCTCAAGCTCGCGCACGCTTGCTTCCTCCGACGACCGACTTGCTTGTTTTTTTTCACGGCAACCAACCAACAAACTTAATAAGCTCACTTTCTTCGCTTCACTGCACTTTCTAGCTGGATAGCTTTCACACTTTTTTTTAACAAACAAATCTGTGACTCCTCTCAAAAAACATGCATAAAAACAACATTATCTCACACGTGTTTGCTTGTTTGAATGCGACAATTAGTATAATATGACCAAAATTAATACAAAACCAGGCCAATAAAAAGTTAAGTAATACATAATATACTGTCTTGATTCCCTTATAGTTTTCTTAAACGATAAAATTTGTAATAATGGAAAGAAGGGAAATAGTGAGAGCTGGAAATTCACTTAATTTTAATTATATTCAGCAACGTTTCGTCAGCACATTTGCTGACCTCTTCAGGCTTTATTAACAGAAAAATAACAAATTATTAACAATAAAGTTGCAAATGTAATTATAATTATATGTATATGTGTGTACCTGATTTCTCTCGTAGTCAAATTATTATAAGCTAAAACGAATAGCTCGTAGCAAGTCACGTTATAATACATTAAGAAATCAAGTATTTCAACACACACACACACACACACACACACACACACACACACACACACACACACACACACACACACACACACACACACACACACACACACACACACACACACACACACACATATATATTCTTCATCTATCATCCTTTCCTCATCGATATTAATAAAAGCTTATAAATATGACTAAGATATTGTATATCCTCTTTTCTATTTAACGTATTTTTATGTAAGCCAATGTGTAACATTTCGGATATTCTTCGTTTCTTATAATTCTTTTCATAATCCAATATCTTAGCTTTTTTCCAGTCGAATTCGTGTGAGAGAGTTCTTCTATGTGTAGCTACTACTGTATCTGAGTCAATGTTTTTTTTTTGTGTTCATTTAATTCAATTTTTAAGGATCGCTTACTTTCACCTATGTAGACCGCTAAACATTGTTTGCAGTTAATACTGTAGACCATACCAGTGTTGTCTAATAAATCAGATTTGTCTTTTCCTAAACGAATGAACTCTTGTAATGATTTTTGTAATAAAGGGATTGGAGTAATGTCATGTTTTTTTAACACAGAAGAACATTTTTTAAAGATGTTGCAATTATTTGGAATAGCGATTATAGGTAGTTTCTGATTTATTAATTTTTTAGAATTATTCTTCCCTTTTTTATATTTGCTAATCCGTTTGCGTATGTTTTTATTGATAAATTCAAATGGATAATTATTCTTTTTCAGGATATTAGTAACTATTTTTAAATTGCGTGAACGAAACTTTTTGTCAGCAAGTAAAAACACCCGGTCAACTAAATTTGAAACTATATTAACTTTTTGATGAATTGTATGTTCTGAGTTTAAATTCAAAATTCTGTCAGCTTGTGTTGTTTTTTTAAACCAATCAAATTCTAATTTATTATTATTTCTGATCAATTTTAAGTCGAGAAATGGAATAAAATTATTCATTTCAATTTCAAACGTAAATTGTAATCTATTATGATAAGAATTGAACGTCTCGACAACTAAATCAATTTTATTTTTCGGAACGCACATCAAAGTATCATCAATATATCTATAGTAGAAAACAGGATTAATTTGATATTTATTCCATAACATGTTCAGGCAGTGTTCCTCTAAGTCTTCCATTAAAATATCAGCTAATAAAGGAGAGATGGGGTAGCTCATCAAGCTTCCAAATATTTGTTTATAATAAATTTTGTTGAACACAAAATATGTGTTATTAAATAAGAATTGTATACCTCTCCGAATCTCTTCTATTGGAATCTCACAATTTTTAATTTGTTCATAATGTTTGTCCAATCCCTCCAAGACTAAATCACAAGATATGTTCATGAATAAGGAACTTACATCTAATGATATTAAAACGTGATCGTTTGGAATAAAAATATCTTTTAATTTCTTTTTAACTGTCCACTGTTTAAAATGTGAGAGTTAGGTTTATTTATAGCTGTTTTAAGAGCGCTATATAAGAATTTTGCTAATTTGTGAGTAGGGCTATTAATTGATGAAATTATTGGTCGTAGAGGCACATTTTCTTTATGTATTTTTGGTAATCCATAGCATTTTACTATAGATGTTTGAGTCAAATCATTATTATGCCAATATTTATTCAGAAAACCATTATCATTCCAATCTTTTAAAATTATTTTTAAGTTTCCTTATAATTTTTTCAGAGGGTTTGATTTAACTTTGGTAAAAGTGATATTATCATCTAATAAAGTATTCATTTTTTCTAAATATTGTTTTTTCGACATGACTACTGTGACATTACCTTTGTCTGCATTTGTAAACATAATGTCTGGATACATTTTTAGAAAATTTTTTGTTAATTTTATTTTTTTGTTGAATTCTTTTTGTTCAATAGATATATGTTTTACGTTTTTATTAGCTGTTTCTAATGTTCTTATTATTTTACTGTGAATATCTTGTTTATCATAAGTGGTTTTTATATAGTCTGTTTCTAATAGCCCTTCTACATTTTTTATAGTAGTTAATATTTGTGGTTTATAAACCTCAGTGGAGTAACAAAATTTTGGACCAAGTGAAATTATTTGAGTAACCTCTTTAGGAAGATCGATGTTTGTTAAATTTTTTATCCAACTTTTGCAACCAGTGAATTTATGTTGTTTCTTGTTATGATTCTTTGATATCAAATTCTGGAATTTTCTTTTATGTAATAAGTCAAGCTTTTTTCTAAAATTATTCAAGTTCAATTCAGTCATGTAGAAATAATTGCCTAAAATTGTATTGTCAATTTTTGATTTCCTTAATAAGGACGTTGTTTTGTCTAATTATTTTTCCAAGAATTTAATATGGCTATTTATATCTTGTATTTCAATTTTTAAGATTTTCGATGCAAGAGTTAACAGAACTGATGATAGATGAAGAATATATGTATTGAAATACTTGATTTCTTAATGTATTATAACGTGACTTGCTACGAGCTATTCGTTTTAGCTTATAATAATTTGACTACGAGAGAAATCAGGTACACACATATACATATAATTATAATTACATTTGCAACTTTATTGTTAATAATTTGTTATTTTTCTGTTAATAAAGCCTGAAGAGGTCAGCAAATGTGCTGATGAAACGTTGCTGAATACAATTAAAATTAAGTGAATTTCTAGCTCTCACTATTTCCCTTCTTCCATTATTAGAAATTTTATCATTTAATGTTGTCCCTTTAATTCTAACAACCCTTCAATGTTAATAAAAACAAATAAAAAACATCGTTTTACGTGCACACATGCGGCTGACGCGTTAAATATTTATCTTTAGTTATATCCGCAATATATACATATTTAAATTATTGAATCAATAAAAGTCATGTTTAACCGTGCAAACTGATTGTTGATGTTAAAAGAAGAGTTGAAAGGGACAAAATAAATATTTTTTACCATTACGTCGCATAGTTCTTAACTAAAGATTAGTTTCCTAAAATGTTATCAAGCTTTTGA